TTGTATAGATTCCATGTAGGAAAAACCCTATTGGATTACTTCACACTGGAAAGCAAGCAGAAACCTAGGGTAATAAAAGAGGGAAACAAGAAAGCTAGTAGCTTCAAATTTTGTAAAAATATGTGACGATAAGCCTTCACACAGTGAGATTCTTAGGTATTTTGCATAATTATCAGACTTGCTACTGGCTCAAATTAATCTGTGTAATCAGATTCACATTCCCATGCCTTCTTCACTCATTCTGACCCAGGACACAGTGTTGTTCATCCCCATTTGGATATTTATAAGCTGGACTACAACAGCAGCCTTTGTGGTTGCTGACTGGATCAAGCTGCCTGTCTCTTCCTGCTAGGAGAGACAGTTGAGCCCACCTTGAACAGCAGAGCACAGCAGTGAGAGGGAGAAGAAAGGGGAGTGGGGGAGAGAGGAAAAGATAGTTAGGGGGGGGGGAGAAAGGGATAAGGGGGAAGGAGAAAGAGACCAGGCAGAAGGGAAGGGGGAGATGAGAAGAAAGCAGAGGGAGAGGACACACTAAATTCCTTGGTGTCAAAGGCTGACAGGCCTACAGAGCCTTTCTGTCCTTCCAAGTAACCCTAGATAAAATCTCCAGTTGTCTTCTAGACTTTTAACCACTCCATCACACAGACAATCTTTCATTCATTCCTGCTCATTCTGAGTTGCAAATATGCCTGGAATTCATTACTTTCATTTCATTTCCAAGGCCAATGCCCAAGGTCAAACCTATATCTCTATCTCCACTACTGCAATGGTCTTCTCTAACTAGCACCCCTCTTCCCCCCCAAGTATAATCTCCCTACCTGTCCAATCTATCATTCACAGGGCTACTGTCTCGTTTGTGAAAATAAGAACCATATTTTATTTATCCTTTGAACCATCTTTCCCTCCTATATGTTCAGGCATTAAAATATTTGCTAAAGTTACTATATGCATGTCATTTTTCACTTGAAAAACCTTTGAGGGTACTCATTGGCTTCAGAAAAAAATTAAAAGAGCAAAGTCTATAGTCAGGTCAGCCAGGTTACAGACCATATTCCCCTTCAGCAAAGAGTACTACCAATTCCTTCCTGTGGACTATTCCAGTCTAGCGGCAATATCGAATCTTCTGGAACATATAAGCAACAAGTTTATGACATGCCTTCCCTCTGTGAAATTTACTTTCCATTGGCCCTACTTAGGAAACATCTACCAGTCCTTCAAGGTTAAATATCCTTTTTGTCATACTATCTTCTTTAATTCTATCTTCAGATTAAACTTGTTTTTATTTTTTAAGCCTTCAGAAGACTTTCCTTAGACTTCTAGTTTGACATTTATGTGGCTCTGCCTGGTCTTCTATATATCTGGTATAGGGCTAGCCAGGTATCAAACTTATTTCCCAGTAGTGAGTGAAGTGTATTTCAGCATGAGGTTATTCTCATTCTCTTCCTTCTCAAGATCCATTCTTCACAAGATTCATTCTTGTATTCTTTATCCTTGGTGCAGCATGAAGCACACCATTTATATTCAGTAAGTATTTCTTGAATAAATAATTCCCCGATGGACTAAATCTCTTATTTGAAATGGACTAAATCTTATTTGAAAATAGGTGTTGTGCCTTATTCATTTATATTTCTCACAGTGACTAGGAAAATCTGAGTAACAGAAACTTCTACATGTTAAATAAAATACTGGGCTCAGACTCTAGCCTCCTGGGTTAACAAATATTTGGCTTAACCTAGGACAATCTGTCATTTCTTTATTCCAAAAATATTCATTGAATATTCTGCATATGTCAAAACTTATGTCAGAAATGGAGACAGAAGAGTAAATAAGGCAAACTACACCTATGTTGGAGTGGAGGAAATAGCTATGTTAGCTAATAAAGAGGATTTTTAACACCTCAACTCTATTTCGGTCACACAAACTTTAGATAGAATCATCAGTGGCTCCACCCTGTACCTTGCTTCAAGTGTTATCAGATAAAATGGAAAAATGCTACCAAAGTAGGACAAGAAGAGGAGGAAAAGGGGGAAGAGGTGGTGGACGAGGAAGAGGAACAGGACAATGACTGCATTTTCTCCTCCTCTTTAATTTCAGTGCTATCCCCCAAACTGAAGTCCTCATTATGTCTTTAGGAAACTACTAACACTGCTTTCTAAGGATTCTTTCCACTCTCATGTTTCCCACCCTAACATTCTCTTTCAGTGCCGTCAGAATAATTTCTTTAAAGGGCCATGGTCCTATTACATTACAGCTCCATTCAAAACCCCTAAGTGGCTCTGTATTACAGACATAGGGGGAAAAGGACACGGGTCAGACTGCCGCTTCATTCCAAAGAATCTTTAAAAATCGACTTCCAATCTGTCTTTCCAGAATCATTTGCATTGTCTTCCTACAATCCAGACTCCTTCCAAATGAGCTTTTGAGTTCGTATCTTTGAATCTCTCACTTGGTACTTTTCAGCCATCTGTTTTATTTGAAGTCTATCTATATCTCAAGGCCCAATTCAAGGATCTCAAATTTGTCTCTGAGTGTCTTCCTTCACAGATAAAAACACAGTACACTTTGTGCTTTTCCTCCCTAACTTTACCTACTTCTACCTCATATTTTGCTTATTGGCAAATAGCTTATACATGCAAGATTCATTCAATAAGTATATAATAAGCATTTACTGTCTATTATCACAAAGTACTGAAAATACTGGGTCATTGGAAAAGTCATGCATATTTTTCTACGCAAAAATGCATCGTGACTTTTCTGATGGCCCAATATATCATAATCACAGGATTAGTTAAATTTTTGTTGAATGAGGAAAACCTCTGGTCAAATGAAAATTTACCCCAAATCAAAACAATCTTATTCTAAATATAAACAACATTAGCCACCAAGGAACTATATAGAAATTGTAGCAATATATGTCACATATCATATTTAAGTTTGCATGAAAAGAGATGGTAAGTTAGTGGAAAACAGAACTCAATAAAAAGCTAAGAAAACTCATTCAAAGTAATAGTGAATCAATCTTACCATTCGATTCATTAATGTGCCTACCATTTCAACAAATGACTTTGTAAATTCACATGCATTAAGTTCATCTATTGGAAATAATAACGGTGTCAGAATTTACTGAAATACCAATAATATACAAATGTTTCCTAGGTACCACTAATACATTTTGTAAAATTTAATAAAAGTTTACATGATGAAAATTTTCCCCTTTCCTTTCCTAAGGAAACAGCTTTAGAAGATGATTGATGCCTGCTATTACGGGTCTATATTTGTATTTTCTTATTTTAGAAGCATCTCAAAAATATACTTCAAGTATTTTCAGTTAAACTAAAAAAAAGATAAAAGGTGATTATTCATAGGCAATGATGATAGACTCTCAGGAAGTAACTGCAAACATAAATTTTAAATGCCTTTTGGAAAGAGTTGAAAATAAAAACATTTACATAATTTCTTAGAAACCCTGGATTTTTATTGCTGCATTTCAATATTCCCTCTGGGCAATGGAACAGCTACTTCAAAGATTTATTTGATAGTGAAATGTTTGATTTCTTTGTTTTCCTTTCCCAATGTGGGTAGGTTTGTAGTTTTTATTATACCACATGTACTGTATTTTAAAACTTAAATTGGTTTACTATAGAAAAAAAATTGTTCTGTTTTGGCAGATTAATCAAATAAAACAATGTTCACAACACACACCACACACACACACACACACACATTCACACATAAATAAATTACACAGATATATTATATTACTTCAAAATAGCCTATCTGTACATCAATCATCTTTGATAACAGACTTGCCTCTTCATAATAATATTACCAGTGACTGTTATCAAATGTCTAAAACTTCTACTTACGCAAAAATGCATCGTGACTTTTCTGATGGCCCAATATATCATAATCACAGGATTAGTTAAATTTTTGTTGAATGAGGAAAACCTCTGGTCAAATGAAAATTTACCCCAAATCAAAACAATCTTATTCTAAATATAAACAACATTAGCCACCAAGGAACTATATAGAAATTGTAGCAATATATGTCACATATCATATTTAAGTTTGCATGAAAAGAGATGGTAAGTTAGTGGAAAACAGAACTCAATAAAAAGCTAAGAAAACTCATTCAAAGTAATAGTGAATCAATCTTACCATTCGATTCATTAATGTGCCTACCATTTCAACAAATGACTTTGTAAATTCACATGCATTAAGTTCATCTATTGGAAATAATAACGGTGTCAGAATTTACTGAAATACCAATAATATACAAATGTTTCCTAGGTACCACTAATACATTTTGTAAAATTTAATAAAAGTTTACATGATGAAAATTTTCCCCTTTCCTTTCCTAAGGAAACAGCTTTAGAAGATGATTGATGCCTGCTATTACGGGTCTATATTTGTATTTTCTTATTTTAGAAGCATCTCAAAAATATACTTCAAGTATTTTCAGTTAAACTAAAAAAAAGATAAAAGGTGATTATTCATAGGCAATGATGATAGACTCTCAGGAAGTAACTGCAAACATAAATTTTAAATGCCTTTTGGAAAGAGTTGAAAATAAAAACATTTACATAATTTCTTAGAAACCCTGGATTTTTATTGCTGCATTTCAATATTCCCTCTGGGCAATGGAACAGCTACTTCAAAGATTTATTTGATAGTGAAATGTTTGATTTCTTTGTTTTCCTTTCCCAATGTGGGTAGGTTTGTAGTTTTTATTATACCACATGTACTGTATTTTAAAACTTAAATTGGTTTACTATAGAAAAAAAATTGTTCTGTTTTGGCAGATTAATCAAATAAAACAATGTTCACAACACACACCACACACACACACACACACACATTCACACATAAATAAATTACACAGATATATTATATTACTTCAAAATAGCCTATCTGTACATCAATCATCTTTGATAACAGACTTGCCTCTTCATAATAATATTACCAGTGACTGTTATCAAATGTCTAAAACTTCTACTTACCTGTCTATCCACTTCTGGGAGCAAAAGCAGGAGGTATTGTTGAAAATGCTGAGGTAAGGAAGCAAATGTATGTTTATTTATTAATGCCCTCAAGTTAGTGTTGACAAGAATAGATCCTGGGGTTTCTATGTCAATGTCCTCAGCTTTGGTCCATTTCAAGTGTCCTGTGATGAACAAGCGAGAGGAATGAATTCACTACAGACTGAGGAAAATGCACATCCATACGCATGTATTTATTGAACATATATTTTCAATACTATGTTTAATTCTATTTCTTTTAAAAATGCTTTTCAGAAAAGGAATTCTGAAAACTTTTTTCATTGTGTTTTTTTCTAACCTCAGTTATTTTTAATTTTTATAATGAATATTTCAATCAATAGCTTCTATGTTTGTAACTCAAAGTAGCATCTGGTCCTAATAAATATTTTAATTATGAGCTTTTAATTCGTCAAAATTTTCAAAAACACTGGAAGCAGAATCTGGCTGGGTGTAGTATCCATGGTTGCTATTGCTTTTCCCTTAACACTTTGAATATATTTTCCCATTCTTTCCTTGCATTGTTTCCCATGAGAGATCTGCTGTCAGCCTGATGGGATATCCTTTGTAGGTAACTTGACGTTTCTCTGTTGCCAGTCTTAGTATCTAGTCTTTGTCCATGGTAGCAACTACAACTTATGTAAGTTCTATAAGACCTAGGGCCACTAATAAAACAACAGTGCTATCACTATTAATAGCAATAATGATAGCAATAATAGCCATCTATTTCTCACTTGTCAGGCAGTACGCTAAACACTAGATAATTTAATAAGATTCATATTTGGGTATTTCTGAGGGTGATAATTTAAAAATCAACCTTTTACAGAAATATTAGCTGTAAGAGTTGAAATACAAATATGTTTCAAAAGATAATTCCACAATTTAAGGCACACTGGCCTCCAGTGGAAGGCTGTATCTAGAGTTCACAAAGTAGAAGCATGACACACAAGAAAATAATCCACTATAAGCTACAGTCCCTGATGTAGGAGACATAGGAGAATTGCCATTCGCAGTTACTTGAGCTAAGGGGCCCACGTGAATGTGATTATAAAGATATATTTGAAATCGAGGACCAACAAAACATGGCCTATGAGCTATACCCAGTCCAGTGGCTGTTTTGGTAACAAAAGTTTTACTAGAACATGATAATATCTACTATTTGCATATTATCTAAGTCTGCTTTTATATTACAATTCAGAGTTGAAGAGCTGTTACAGAAATCACATGGCCCACAAAACCTACGGTACTTAGTTTCTGGCTCTTGACAGAAAGAGTTGCCTGAACTTTGTTTCAAATCATTAAAGACAAAAGAAGAAATATTTTTACAATAACGTCAAATGGGGCATTATGATAAAAGAATAGTCAGATTTTAAACAAAACAAGATATAACTTCTAGAAATAAAAATGCAATTTTTAGGAATTTTAAAAAATATTCAGTAGACAAAGCAGAGAAAATAATTATTGAATAATTAAGATAGAGAGCTAAAGAAAGTATCTATAACATAGTATAAGAAAATGATGAATTAATAGGAGATAAGGAAATACAGAGACTAAAATAAGCAGTCAGAATGTATATCTAGAGGAGTTTCAGAATGAAAAATGCTGCAAATAGTAGAGAGGAAATATTTGAATAGATAATGGAGGGAATACTTTTTAGAACTGAAATGATGATAGTTCTTAGGTAAAGCAACACACCAAAATTCCTCCTTCCAGGAACTTGAAATCTCTAACCATCAAAAATAAAAATAAAATCTCAAAAATAATTTTGAACAAATGGTAGGTTATCTCCTGAGGGATGACAGTAAGATGTACAGAAACCACGGCAGTAAATAGCAGAAGACAGGGGGTATCCTCAAAGGACCAAGAGGGTAAATTTAGAACTTCATTCATAACCATGTCTCTCAAAAATTAAAATGATGGTAAAGACACAGAAAACATTTTAAGTAACCAAAATTGAAATAATCCCTTAAAGAACCTTGCTAAAATAACCAACAGTGAATATTCTTAATTAAAAAAAAAAACTATATATAGAAGGAATGAGAAAGAAGCTCTTCAAATCATTTTACAAAATTAATGTAACCTTTATTCCCAAATAAGGACAATATGAGAGAGACATTTGTTGGCTTATGTCACTTACAAATGAAACAAGATGCATATATTTAAAAAAGTCTTACCGAGCCTAGGTGATAGGTATATAGCTGTCTCTTGTTAGCACATGTTTATTGTATTTTTGTATATTTGAAGTATTTTGAAATTAAAAAAAAAAAAATCCTAGACCACAGGGAGTTAGGAAGAAGCTTCTTTTCTCAGCAGTAAAGGCCAAGGTAAAATCTAGAGGCAGAAATGTTGAAAAAATAGAGAAAGGAATTTGCTTAATTCTTACTATATAGCCTAAATATTTTCTTATAAAAGAGTTGAGGTCATTTATTTAGAGCAACTCTGACTAGGGCTAGGAATGCTAGGAAATTGAGAAAAATGCAATTTATGATCATTATTTTTACTTTTGAAATGTAAGCTACCATGGAATATACGGGACTTGTGCTATTACTATTTAGTATGATTCAAAATCTCTAAGAATATCATAACATCATAGAGAAAAGAAACTTCAGAGAGACACATAGTCTTTTATGACAAAGCCAACAATTTATTTCAAAGACGTCCATCTAAGCAAAAATATATTTTATGATTCTGGAACAAAGACAGAGCAGATGAACTAAATTTGTTGCCACAGAGGATATTTAATTCCATTTTAATTATCCTTACACATGTACTTTTAATTGGCTTAAGCACAATCCAATTATATATGATTGTCTTATCTCATTAAAGCTGATACCTCCTATCTCCCTACAGCACCCAGAGAAGAAAAAAGATGTGGTCATTTTAGTGTCTACCTTTCAGACACTTAGCCTATCGGGGGTAAGGTGGCTGAGGAAGGGTAAGGAAGAGAAGAAAAGCAACAATTGCCAAATTGCCACAGTAGGGGGTTGTGCTGGACAAAAAGACAGTGAGCTAATCACACAGTAAAAACTGAATTGGGGCAGTATAGAATGTGTCCAAAAGAGTCAGGAAAATTCTCTATTATTTCAAGACCAAAAATCTGAGTAAGAGCAGAGGACTCTAGAGTGTCTGTTAATCAGTGGGGAGCTTGCTGACTTCAAGACTTGTATTTTCCAGACGGGAACCCACACAGGAATAATGCATACAATGGGCACATACAGTGACATAGACATACTCACACAGAGAAGGCACACATGCAAAAGACAGGCCAGCAGACAAGAGGAACGCCTCCCACCCCCAAAGGAAAAAAAAAAAAAAAAACAAGAGTTCACAACCAAACAGGTCTTTACAGTCTCTGAGAAACTGGAGAGGAATGATTCTAAGAGAGATCTGAGAGAAGAAAAACAGGCTTTCAAGGAACCAGCAGTTAGCGTAATGGCTATGTTGCTGGACTCCCACGTAGTCGACCATGGTTTGCGTCCCAGACCCAGTGGCTTAAAACTCACGCCGGACGTGTGTGCGTGCATGCCCAAGATCCCAGGAGGAGAATGGAGGAGAAGGAATTGTGGCATGACCATCCCCCCTGGGGGGTGATTTCTCACTTTCTGTCTCTATGTCTCTTTCTGTCTGTCTGGTGGGCGCATGTGCCCTATAGCGAAAACCTCTCCAAAAAATAGGCTTTCAAAGTATAAAGTATAAAGTCTATGGGGGAAAAAATGTATCAGAGAAGAAAATCTAATTATGTACAATATGAATCAATATAGTCCTATAAAAACTCTATGAGGGGTAGTGAGTCTATTAATACTAGGGTTACAGAACAAGTTACAGGAATTAATTGCTAAACAAATTGAATATAAATGCTTTCAATCTTGAGTTAAAAAAATAATATAACAGGGCTGGCCCCATAGCACAGTAATTAAATGCTATTCATGCAAAGCTGAATCCTACATGGCTGAACTTGGTTCATGTCCCAGCGCCAGAAGCTTGAAACACACTCCAGACACATGTGAGTGTGTACTCTAAAAACCTACAGGAAAGAGGAATGCAGAAGAAAGGATTGTGGCATGATTGTATCCCACTGGGAAATGATTTCTCTCTCTATCCCCTCTCTCTAGGGAGCATTCTTGTCTTCTGACAAAAAAAAAAAAAAGAAAGGAAAAAAGAATAATTTTTAAAAAGTAATAAAAATAAAAATAAACAAAGCAGAAGACGTAGTATCTGAAGTTATCATTTTGTCCAATATAAACACAAATGGATTCAAATACGCTCATCAAAAAGTTTAGGCAATCTTAGGTTGTGTTAAGTCCCATAGAGGGCAGAAGATAATTGGTATTTTTAAAAATAGATCTGTATGATATCATTTGTATGTGGAATCTGAAGTTCAAACTCACAGAAGTAGAAAGTAGAATGATGACTAGCAGAGGTGTAGGATCAGAATACAATATAGGAGGGAAGAATGATATTAATCTAGGGTACTAAGTTTCAGTTAGACAGGAGGAATAAGTCCTAGTCGTCTTTGGCAAGTCACAGTGCCTACAGCTGACAATAATGTATTGCACGTTTCCAAATCACTAAAATAGATTTTAAATGCTATTACCACAAAGAAATGATCAGTGGCGAAGTGATAGTTATGTTAATTGAATAATTTAATCATTCCACAATGTATACACATAGAATATAACATGAACCCCATAAATAGAGAGGTACTACCTGTCAAATTAAAATGATTTACTGAAGAGAAAAAAAGAATAAAAACTAATATAACAAAATTATGGAGGCACAAGGGACTGTAAGTGTAATTATTTCCCTATCATGTCTAATATACTGTCCAAAGTTGAAATAAGTAGTTAAACAGATAACCACTCTTACTTTGGTTCTTTATATTCTTAATAATTTTGAGAGAATACTGAGATACAATACATCTTGTGGCAATGTTTAATGGTTAACAGTTTTACTTTCTGGCCTTAGATTTTTAAAAATGATTTGGCCTAAAATTAATTTAGTACTTTTCCTTAAAATAGTATAATGAAGGTTTTCTAAGATGAACTCTGGTTATAGATATACATTTAGTGATGTCAATGTTTATAAAACATGAGGGATAATTATTTCGAATGAGAGGATGTGGGGTTAT